ATGGAAATTATCCCACCACAATGTCCTCTTTTTCTTTTAAATAAGACTTTATTTTTTTAAAGGAAGGAAGAAGCAGGTAATTATTAAGAAACCTCTATTTCAGGAAAAAGTGGTAATACCAAGCTTTGGCAAGAAAAGGGGAAATTAGATTTTCTGTAGCCCAAGAAAAGTATAACCCTGTGGGTTTTTTAATGGACATTGTACCAAAAAGGACTTTCTTCTCTCATCAACTGTATTAAAGAATGAAGATATTACTTTTCAGATAAAAAGAATATAAAATATCTTTTCCTATACTCTTTTTTTCATTTTTAACAAAGCTTTTTTGTAGTTTTGAATGTGTCTGTCTTGAAGGTTAAAGATATTATATCAGCATATTGTAAATGAAAGATCATGTGGGTTAAAAAGAGAAAAAAATGATAAAAAGATATACATGATAACCATTCTTTCCATTGTTGCACTAAATCACTTCTAATAAAACAATGAAAAGCAACTGAAAAGGAGATTTTAATTCTCAGAGCAAAACTCAATAGTCAGGTTGGACAGGGTTCTATTTATTTTTTCTCCTGAATAATTTTGATCTGTCCAGCAAATAAAATAAGGTAAGAAAAATGGTAAAAAGGTCAAGACAACTGTTATGTGAGCAATATTTATAATGTATAAGAATGTTTAGCTTTTAAAATCAAGCTAACTAGGGAAGAAAGATCAAGAATTCAATAATGGGTAGGGATTAATGGAGTAGAGGGGTATCTACATGGAGTTACCTTAGATGGAATTAAAAAAAATAACAATATATGTGATTTATAACACAAATGAATAAAATTGTTTCTTTCCAAACTATAGGCCAGTGGTAGTCAACCTGGTCCCTAACACCCACTAGTGGGCATTCCAGCTTTCATGGTGGGCGGTAGGGGTTTTGTCCCCAACATAATAAATAACCATTACCGGTAGGCGGTTAGAGAAAATTTTACTACTAACAGAGATACAAAAGTGGGCGGTAGGTATAAAAAGGTTGACTACCCCTGCTATAGGCTATCAAAAGTCAAAACTTTAAAATAAAACTTGTGAGTAAAACTTATGATGCATCTAGAGGCAGTAAGGTTATTTGCAGATGCAACAGAATTATATTGGGAATAGTTCTAGCTGTTTAACAAGAACTAGATAAAGAAATTACCCTTGTTAGTGTCCTGTCTGAGGAATACTTCGCTGATGGTAAACACAGCCAACAAGCATTGAGATGCTTTGGAATAATTTTGTGGTCTTACCTTAGGACTGATTATTACAATATGCCTGTTCTTGTTTTAAAGCATTATTGCCTCGCCCCCATTTCTGCATTCTGGAATCATCCAGATAGTTTAGCATAGTCACAAAATGTGTATGTGACACACAACTCTAACCTTGTTTTCTAACAATATATCAAATTAATACATAAATCACAATGCCCATATTCAGTGTCTGAAAGGTGTCTGCTTGAAAGCAGTAACTAATTGTATAATGGCTTATCAAAAAAGATAACACATTCTGAAACAGAAATTTAATCTATTTTGGATGGAATAATAATCTGTTTGGATTATTGTGAATTTATTCTGGTGAATTAGAGAATTGGTTTAGAGTGGTTTGTCAACTGCACACTATTTTTGGTAAGGTCAGTCCTGCTAAAAGCAGAATTGTAGAATTATTTAAGTCAGCTATTCATATACAGGAGCCTCTGCGGTGCAGTTGTTAGAGTGCAGTATTGCAAGCTACTTCTTGCAGCCAGCTGCCTACAATTTGGCAGTTCAAATCCCACCAGGTTCAAGGTTGACTCAGCCTTCCATCCTTCTGAGGTGGGTAAAATGAGGACCCAAATTGTTGGGGGCAATATGCTGACTGTAAACCACTTAGAGAGGGCTGTAAAGCACTATAAAGTGGTATATAAGTCTAAGTGCTATTGCTATTCAAAGATCTTCTCAAATGATTTTATCCAAGCAATGTATTTTGATGTAGAATTCATGAGAAACTCTAATGATGGTCTACTAATGATCTACTGATGATGTCATGGGGGATTGATTGTATATGGGTGTAATAGTCATCTGCAACAAAGATTTCATGTAAATGTAAACCTGCACTTCCAGGTTTTCATATGTGAACAGGGCTATTAGGTTTAAAATATGATTGTGAGGATATAATTATAAATTGCTCCAGTCACTACATTTTTGTCACATTGTTTATTTGTTTCTGTACACAGTTCAAACAAATTCTGATTTTCTATCATGGTTTGGATCCAGAATAACCTTAGAGTTGCCTCTTTGTGCCACTCTAAAGAATCCTTATTCATCATTTATGTCAAGAAATAGGATCATTTTAGAATCACAGCCAGCTATGCCTCTACTTTATTATATGCTGGTTAGTTAAATAGTGATAATACATATTGGCCTTTTTGGTTATAAAAGAACTTTGTTAAAAAAAAGATTTTAAAAAAATTATGATTAAGATTTTATTGTTATCAGAAAAACAATATTGATCCTTTAATATTAGTAGATGAGAGGGGAAAAGTCCTTTTAGGTACAATATCCATCTACAACAAGGTTGTAATTTTCTTTGGCTACAGAAAAACTAATTTCCCCATTTCTTGCCAAAGTTTGAATGTGGTATGTTCCTGGAAGGAATGATTGGAGAAGAATGGGAGCGTACAGCAAGAGTTTCAAACTTGGCAAGTTTAAGACTTGTGGACTCCAACTCCCAGAATTCCTCTTCCAGCCATGTTAGCTCAGGAATTCTGGGAGTTGAGGTCCACAAGTCTTAAACTTGCCAAGTTTGAAGGCCCTTGGTATATATTGTAAGCAGTGTCAGTCAAAGAAGGAAGCTCATCCCAGGTAAAGTGAGCATATAAATGAGCAACCTCTTATGTTGGGTAGCAATGACATAGAAAGATGTTGTGGAAGATAACTTTAGTGAAATTATTAATGATATAGCACTGGATGATGGCCCCTCAGGTAAGATGATACTAATCATCTACTGAAGAAGAGTTGAAAGTGTTTTGGAATACACATGCTTATGATGTGGCTAGTTGCTAATGATGACCTGAAAAAGAAAAGAAAATCCAAAGCAACAAAAACAAAATTATAGTGGAAGTATGGCATATTATGGACTGGATTCTTCCAACCTAGCGATGTTCTCATTGCTAACATGGTGTTCAAACAACCAAATCACTGGATGGAACACACAGAAATAAAATTAATTATATTATTGTTATAAAGAAGTATAGAAGCTCAGTTATAATAGCAAACATCTGGTCAGGGGTTAATAGTGTAACAAATTACAAACTAAAATATGCAAATTTTAAGTCAAAGTGAAGCGGAGGAACAAAGCTGCTTTCCATATGATCCTGAGCATATACCCGCCGATTTCAAGTAGGACCTCAGTCAAGCCCAATATCTTTGTTCTAAGCAAGAGAAATTAGTGAATTTTGCCCCATTTTACAACATTTTTTTGTAACAGTTGTTAAATAAATCCCTGCAATTGTTAACTTAGTAAGGCGATTGTTAAGTGAACTGGCTTCTCTATTGACTTTGCTTGTCAGAAGGCCGCAAAAGATAATCATAACCCCAGAACACTGCGACTGTCATAAATATGAATTAGTAGCCAAGCACCTGAATTTTGATCACGTGGCCATGGGGACTGTAAGTGTGAAAAAAGATCCTAACTCACTTTTTTCAATCCTGTCGTAACTTCAAATAGTCACTAAATGAACTGTTGAAAGTCAAGGACTACCTGTAGTTATTTTTGTCTATACTTACAAATATGATAATTATGCAGGCAATGTTTTTTCGGTGACACTCTATAGAAAGGAAAACATGGAGAAAATAACATTCCAGAATTTTTACTTAGCTCAAATGATCATTTCAGACATGTTATAGGAAGATCCAGTTTCCTTAATGCTGGGAATAGTGAAAAAAACAATCAGCAGTAAGATGCAGACTCCATTACTCAATTACAGTAAAACAGATGCACTGTTGAAAGAACTTGAAGGGACAAGCTGGGGACAGATCATCCTAGAGATGATCTATGTAGCCACTAAGAGTCAAAATCAACTTGATAGCACAGGATCTATCACTTTATAATAAGTATGGTTCTCCACAGAATACAACTATGGTTTTTTAAAACTACTTTATAGTAGTTTAAATATAGTTGAACCTTCAGACCTTTAAAAAATTCCTGTAAAACATGTTCTCTCCTACCCCCACAGCTTCACTACAGATTGACACAAATTAATCTCTGGAATACATTGACTGCATTATGGTGTATGTATGCTATCCCTATCAGAGTTATTATTTGTTTCTTTTAGGTACCATACTGTTTTCTAATTTATATTGTTGTGAGCTGCTTAGAGATGCTTAACATGGGCATATAAATCTTTTAAATAAATTACCCTCCAGAACTGGCTTAATTTATATATCAAAATTGCATTAAAAAAGACTTCAGCATTTGTCTTCATTATAATCTGAAAACTGGAAATCACAAATCAAATTCTTGCAATGTCTGCTCCAATAAACTATTTCTGGATGAGGCTGGTTTGCCCCAAACCAGGCTCCCTTGTAGTGCATCAATATCATTACGCTGCCCCTTCAGTTTCTTTTGAATTACTCTTATCCACACATGATCGACCAATACACAAACCGATAACTGTGCTTAATTTCTGCTGCCTAAGGCGGCCAACCATAGCTCCTTCCTCATCATTCACTTGCAGTCTGTGCAACCAATATCCCCTCCTTTCAATCCTACCCAGGTCTCAAAAACTACACTCCCCCGAAAGATAGCATAAGTTCTGAACAAGCCGGCCGGCCACCGGTGTAAGGGGGGAAAAAAGTCCAACTGTTCTTTTGCTTCTCTCTCCCTCTGAGCAGCCCGGCGGCCTCGCAGTTTCCAGCCCAGGAAGAAAAGGGCCGAGCCGGGCTCTACACGCAAGCGAGGGTGGAGCTCCGAGCGCAGCGCATGAGTGTTGGTCTTTTTGCAGTGGCGCGAAGCCGCGGAGACCAGGCAGGGGTTTCTTTGGGCTGCCGGTTTCACCAAACCCTCCGCTTCCACTCGGCACTGGCCGGAGCCGAGAAGCGTCCCACTAAGCAAGGAAGCTCTTCCTTGCCCCAGCCGGTGCTGCAGCTTGCAGGGGTCACCTCCGTCTCCCGGGGAGGTTATGAAGCTCACTAAAGCCCAGTACGAAGAGGTGGTTCAGTTCCTGGCTCAGGTACCGCCTACCAGGCAGAGCCTGAGGAAACTGAAGGAGAAATTCCCCAGGTAAGTCTTCCCCGGGCAGCCGCCGCCGCCGTATCCCCCATCCCTCAAAATCCCTTCCCGCCGCCTGGTTCTTCCAGGGTAAATTCCGCCCCCTTTTTACGCGAAGGAAGTGAAGAAATCAGCTGTCGGAAGTAAACTGTTAACAAGTGGCGGGCCGCGGCTGCGGGGAATCTTTTTGTAGCGGGTGAGGAGACGGCTCTGCCGGCTTTGCGGTGTCATAAAAGACTCGCTCCCGTGTACTGTAATTTCGCTTCGCTGCGGCGGGTTTTGTATTGGATTTTAAAAAGGGAGTGGGAGATTAGAGGAGCAGTAAAAAGAAATGCGACTCTGGCTTGCCTGCCAGGGAGCTCAAAATGAAAGTTACCCATGAGTAAAGATGCAAAATGCGGTGTGTCCTCTCTAGAATGGCCAACCCTCATGTAAATAAGCTGCTAGTCCTCAATAAATTATATCTGTTCTTCATTTCAGCCTAATACGGGATTGCAGCATACCAACTGTCATGTGAATCAAGTTCCGCTACAGATACTTTTAAGATTCGTTGTAAATATCTTAATTCTTAAAAATGAAGATAGTGGGGAAGTATTTAGATACAGGGAGTCCTTGAATTATGCCCACAATTGAGGCCAACATTTCTGTTTGCTAAACAAGAAAAGATACTTGTTAAGTCATGTCTTTTGCCACAGTGGTTAAGCAAATCATTGTAATAACATGGTTCTAAGTAAAGATGGCTTCGCCATTGACTTTGTTTGTCAGGTCACAAAAAGTGATCATATAACCCCAGGACATTGCAATGTCATAAATACATGCCAGGTGCTAAGCATCCAAATTTTGATTACATTATGAGGATGCTGCAATGATCTTGTATGAAAAAGTCTTAAGTTACTTTTTTCAGTCCTGTTGTAACTTGGAATGGTCACTAAACAAATGGTTGTAAGTTGACTACCTGTATTATCCATATGCTTGCACTTTATAATTTAAACTTCTACCAAATAAAGTAGAGCATATTTCTCTATTTTTCCCAATACCACAGATCTGATCCAGTTTGGAACTTCCTATGGCAACATATTACAAGAAAAAATAAGGCCAATTTTCTCTGTTAGCTTACCAGACAGATTGGTTAGGGTGGTTTGGATTATCAAGAAGGCTGCCTTAAATTCTTGAAGGAACAATAGATTGAAATTTTAAAAAACTAAAACACCTATTAATATTTCTTACTATTGTAAAAATAATGTTCATACATTATATATTTATGTTGGCAAACATATTTAACACCAGCTCCTTTAGCATTTAACTCTTTAGCATCACTGAAAAGTCTTAATGATACTTATATTATTTCATTGCAATAAAACAACAAAAGCTATATGTAATGTAGCTGAATTATGCCATTTAATTTTCTCATTCTAGAGGCCATTCTGTCAGGTAGGCTAAATAATCACTGAGATAGGAAGATACAAGTATTAGAGATACACACAGGGGTGGGATTCAAATTGTTTTAACAACCAGTTCTGTGGCTTGGTGGTCATGCTGTTGGCTGGGCGTGGCCAACTCAATATCACTCACATCGAGGCACGCATCTCCTCGCCTGGCCTCTCATGACTGTGGGGATGCTACAACAGTCATAAGTGTGAAAAATGGTCATAAATCACTTTTTTCAGTGCTATTGTAACTTTGAATGGTCACTCCACACAAGCAAAGTATCAGCAAAGGAGGGGAAAAAAACTCCAGAGAAGTTCCTGAGAAAGGAAGTCTAGTCCTTCCAAGAACGTAATAAGGGTTAATAGGCAGTTTCTGTAAGCAACACCAGAATGTTTCCTTCCTGCCTTTCTTACAGGATTAGGCCAGTAATTTCTTCTAACAACCAGCTCTCCAAACTGCTTAGAATGTTAACAATCGGTTCTAGCGAATAGGTGCGAACTGGTAGAATCCCACCCCTGGATACACAACACTGTGGACATGCTTTATGTTAAAATGTGTGCAGAGATAACTAGGTATCATCTGAATACACTTCCTTACAACAGTGGCCTCTTTTTGCCCTGGCATCATATGGTTGCTCTCTTAAGCCACAGTGTAATCACAGAAAAATACTTGTTCTGTGGGGTCCTCTCTGAGCTTAATTGTTTGCTTGCAAATGTTTTATTACCCAACTAGGTAACATCAGTGTGAGTGTAAGTGATATTAACTAATTGGGTAATGAAATGTTGCAAACAAACAATCAAGCTCAGAAAGCACAGAGGACTCCATAATTCAACTCTGAGCTACGCTTTTTTATTGGAATATACATTATGTTTGAAGAGTTGCAGGTACCATGTTTGTGCCTCCACATGCTTGGAAGCTCCACTTCTGAATCTGAATCCTTTTACAGCCCTACTTCATACCAAAAGACAGGGCTAACTTTCATCAGACTGAGGATCATGCTTCTTGTACGCAGCATCTGTACTTCTTTTGGGAGATAATGGGTTTTTAAGGGGCGGGGGATTTGGTACTGAAAAATTCCCAGCAGAAAAAGGGGAAAACAGTTTAGGACTGGCTGTAAGACTAGTCTTACCTTAGACATGAAAATCTGTTGGCTGGCTTCAGGCCAGTCACTCTTTTTTACCCCAACTCACCTCATAGGGTTATCTAGTCTATGCTTGGATAGGAAGAAGGAATATTAGGTATGTATGCTGCCTTAAGATATTTATAAAAATAATAAAGGAAATGAATGAATGTTTTTCAGTTGAGAAATAGGATGACAACTGTGAAATGCTAATTTCCATACTAGACTAATCAATATGAGATGACAACTATTGTAGGTACCTGTTTTGATGTGTTGATTTCAAAGTTTATTTCCCCACTAAGTATTATTATTATATTTGTTTGACACTCAACTCTCAATGACTCTGAATGGCTCACAATATATTTTACCAATATAACTATTACAAATTGTATAATTATATTAATCCTGCAAATCTTGTTTTTATTAAAAAGTGAATGCCCAATTGAATATGAAGTTGGGTTGCAGATAATTAACTGTGATGTATTTTCTGGAGGTAATATGTCTAAATAGTATTAGTTTGTGTAGCATGAAAGTTTATATACTTTTCATATACAATGGCGTTCAGGATGTGATCTTGTTTATGAAGTATTTGAAGTATAAGTTAACCTGGATATTAAGAGAGGCTTCTTTCACTTTATGCTATGATTATGTACCGTGATAAGCTCATGCAAAGCAAAATCACATAGAAAAAGATATTGAAAGAGTAAGAAAAAAGGAATCTCTGAGTTAGAGTGTCAAATTTTGTAGTCTAAATGAATTAACATAATGTTTAGAGCCTTATTCTTTAGCAGTACATTATTCAAGCATGTTTCTTTCCTTGTCTTGTGTTATCTCACATTTCCTTCATGTTTTCTACAGCTGGATTTCTACTGTGTGGTTATCATAGCAAAAAAATTGAATACATCACAGCATTATGAATTTTATTAAACATTCTTTGCTATGTTATGCACAAAAGGTTCAATCAGGATTTTGGGGACATACAACTTTATTTCTAGAAATAAAGGTCTTAGAAAGATCCTTTTTGTTTTCATTTTCTCTGTTCCTTTGATCCCTAGTAACAATACAGGTAATTCTCAACTTACAACCACAATTGGGAGTAGAATTTTGCTTGCTAAGTAACACAGTTGTTAAGTAAACCATCATGTGATCAGACCCAATTTTATGGCTATTTTTACTGTGGTGATAAGTGAACAATCGTGATTGTTAAGCAAGATATCATGTGAGCATGATTTGTAATCTTTTTTACCAGTTTCCCATTGCTTTTGCTTGGAAGCTAACTGAGAAGGTCACAGATTGTGATCACATGATCACAGGAGTGTATGTTATAGACATAACTTGACAATGAGTTTGTCAAGAGCTGTACCCCCTCACTGCAGGGAGGCAGGTCTTATTAGATTGGTCCGCCCCCATCAACTTATGGACCCTGATAGGTTCCAGAAGGATCTGGGTTTATAACTGCAGATCTGCTGCGCAGTTCTTCCAAGCTCTTAGTCACCATTTTGAATAGGAAGGTGACAGGCTCTGGATAGGATTGCACCCGGGCAATCTCTCCTCACCCGTAGACCTCTCTGCCTTAAATTGGTTAATCTTTTGGCCTCATAAATTAAAAGCATGGTTCTCACACATACACCCTTTCTCTGCATATATAGTACATACTTACAGAGCTTGCACCAGGTCCCAATATGTGATTCTTAATTTTTAAGGAATTTTCAAGCCAGTTTATAGCAGCAGTGAGTGTCAGTGCCTCACACACCAACCAACAGTTCCATAGCTACCAATGTGATGCAATTGCAGCAATGGAGATGGATGTTGCTAAATGATGGGTGTGGTCATTAAACAAGACATCATGCAAGCATGATTCGCTTACGACCTCATTTTCCTTATGATCATTAAGCATGTCACCTGCAGTTGTTAAGTCAGATGATAATGACTTGCAATTTTACTGCTAGTTTCTCCATTGACTCTGCTTGTCAGCTGGATGTGAAACATGCAAGTGGTAATCACATGATCATGGGAGATTGACATTTGTAAACACCTGCTGGTTATAAAGTGCCTGAATCTTGATCACATGCAAGTGTGATGGGCTATATAGAATCTTGATCACATGCAAGTGTGATGGGCTGTATAGAAATTTGATTAAATAAATAAACAAACAATGCTGATTTAAGTATGAGGACCAGGTGTAAAGTTACTTTTAGTACTGTCATAACTTTGAAAGGTCTCTAAACAGGAAATTTAAGCAACAACCATCCAAGTAGACACTTGAGTGATTTTTTTCCCCTGAAGAAGTTGTTTTTCCAGCATGAAAGCAGTTATATGCATTTTGTTACTGTTTTAAATAATCTTAAATTAAAGCTGGTGCTTGGGCATACTGGATCACCCAAATAAAATTGAAAAATATAAAACAAAACTTTCAATTTTAGCAGGCACTTGTTTCACCAAATATAAATAGCATGTGATTGCT